TTTAAGATTCTTGAGTTTTGCAGGTGACAGATCTTGCCTTACATTAATATGCAGTCTTCATAATTAATAGGATTATCCATTTTCTTTACATTCTTAATTATTCATTTATTGAAAATTGTTATCTAAGAGGAAAAATCTTTTTAATTGTGAACATTAACCTGATATTTATGAATCCAATCCTAGGTATGTCATGTATCTGAGGAGTGTGTAAAAATAAATTCATAATATGAGGTGCAGAAGCAGAGATGGCAATTTTTCTTATGACACTCTAAAGAATATATGAAATTTATAAAGTATACAAATTTACAGAAAGTATGTTTCAAACAATTTTAAGACTAGTTGTTCTTGAAATGTAACCTCATATAGAAATCATTATTGACATTGTACAAATGTATATACATGTTATAGATTCAAATTTCAGAGATATCCCAGTTTCATGCTAAATTACATTTTTCTGGTAATAAAAATCATCTGTAATGTTAAGGATATCATAAGGATAATCAATAAGTAAATCAAGACTCTGTAAAAGTATTTTTAGAGCAGTTTTTAATTATGAAATCTTAAGAATGTAGTTTTAATTTGCATATTTATATCACTCACCACAGAGATGTACATATCACTTATGAAAATGATTACATTTTAGGTTTATTTAAGGAATTTTGTTGTTAATCTTTTTAAACTATATTTTTGAACAAGTGTATTAGTTCAGATAGGATTTTTATCAGTCATTGGGCTGAAAAAACAGACACCAGAATTAACCGAATTCTAAAATAGGTTGCACCAATTTTTCTGGCTTTTCAATCTTTGCCAACACAACCAATGCAATGTCAAGTCAGGAGTTACACAATATAAAAAAAAAACTTTGATAAAGCCAATTGGTTCCCATTTGACATTTTTAAAACTGTCATTATTTGTCACAAGCTCATCACAAGAGCACTGAGTGACTGTCATCATTTTTGTCCTTTGTGTTATTGTTTATTCTCCATAATCTCAAATAGACTTTATCATGTTTTATTTTTATTTATTTTTTTATAACTCCTCCCAAACTGACATAAGCACAGCATTTAAATAAAAATATCTATCATATTCTAAACTCTTCTTTGTCCTGTCAACTTGAGTTGTCCTATGTTATATATTTGGAAACATAGCCACTGTTAATCATATGAGCTGTGGGACTTACTGCTTTCACTATCCAAATGTGATTCTGTTATTGTCAAAACATACTCCCCCCTACACACACGTCTTCCTCTTACTTTACTCTTTTAAATTGATTTATTGCAAAGTATTTTGTAGAGCTGCTTTTATGTTTCATTTCCAAACTAGTATGATCTGTCAAAAATAATTATGTATAAATTAACAATACTGCCTAGGATCAGAATATGGTTTGTGTGCTCTGTTAAGTGTTATACATACACACATATATTTGATATTTTTTTCCTCTATGAAACCTTAAAGAATTGAATTTTAATTTCAGTGTTTGACTGAAATTTTTTCATAGTTTACATTTGAAAAGTTCATTTCTTAGCACTAATTATCTATCTAATCTCTAGCCAATTGTGCACCTAGTTGCATTTGTATGAAAGTTTTTAATAAAGATATTTAAACACGAAATACATTTTTTTCTAGCTATCATATACAATGCAATTTGTAAATGCTCTGCCAAATTAGCACAAGTTGATTACAAACTCAACTTTCATTGTAGCATTATGTAAAGCTCTCTTATATAGTTCAGTCTCTATTAAAATAAATAATAGTAAATATTTTATTTTCTGAATTTTTTCAAATTTTTCTCTGATCCATGAAATAGCCTTTTTTAATGCTAGATTTAGATACTTGTACATCTTTTCATTTTCTTGGAACAGCAATATTCCCCATCTGGCAAATCTTTTCCCTGTTTACAATGACTAGATCTAGCCTTCTGTCCTGAATTGGATGATCAATTTGAATTTCAAAGTTGCAGAGAATTTTTTTTCTTCTAGGACAACTTTATTATGGTTTATCTGTCATTATTTGTATGGTCAAATCCCAATGAATCACTTTTCTGACACAGTCATATCTAAGCAGGTTTTCTAAGCTATTTAACTATAATCATTTATCATATAATTGATCATCTCTATCTCAACACAATGTACAATTAATTATTTTGTTATGTCCTTGACCATAATATAGATTTGTTGTTCTTGAATTGTTCTGGACCACCATTAGTAGCAGTTGAATTTCTAACTTCAAATATCTTCTCATCTGCAATGCCTTTTATTTATTTATTTTTTTTACAACTCGGTTTGGGAAATTTCTTGCTTCTATTTGTCAATTACATTGTAATTTCTGGCAGTTATAATCAATTTCTACTTGTGTTATTCTGAAATCCCTTGATATCAGTTAACAAAATCCCCAATTCTAACAAAATTCTTTTCTCTTCTTCCTCTGTTTTTCAAGTATAGTCAATGTCACCCATAAAGTGCAAAGCATTGTACTTGGTTGTCAGTTTCTTTTGTTCTTTGATCCAAATTCTTCTTTTTTTTTTTCTCTTGTCTAATTTTTAAAATCTTACTATAATACTGTTCATGTAATTAGGCCTTTTATCATATTATTTTTAATGAGTCAAGTTTCCAAAAGCTTCTGCTCAAGGAGTCATTACTGATCTTCATTTCATTTCATTCTATTCCATTGAATTTACTTCTAATGTTCCAAGATATATGTTGACCTTTTTCATTCCATCAGTCTGCAATTATTTTGTATTCTTAACAAAAATGTTTAAGTCCGTCATATAAGTCAGATGGACGTTTTTCCAGTAACTTAATAAATTTATATTCTCAAATTCAGCAAATTCAAATCCGTTACCTTAAAAATCTATTTGAACTCTTTGCCACATATTATCAGATGATGAAAAGTAACAGTTTCCTTGGAAAAGTGTCATATAGTGAATTCTGCTTAGTTTGCCATCCATTTTGTTCTACCATCCATTTTGTCATCAGATACTGTCATAAATTACAATATCATGAATGCATTTGAATTTACTAACGATTCAACCTACAAGTAATATAGCTGAATTGCAATAAATGAATACATATACAGGTCAATATATGCACGGGTTCCAAAATAAGTGGCATATCACCACTACTCAGACCCCATATTAATACACTGTATATCTTTATTTCACCTGCACATAGGCCTGTACTTACATGCATACACTCATACAAATGGTGAATACTAACCTGCAATACCCTGTTCCACATCATTTACACCTATTGTTTCAATACATCAAGAGTTCTAGGTGGGTGAACTAAACAAGTTTTCAAACATTTTCACTGGGAAATAGGTTTGGCATTTATGTTGGCTAAGAAAGTTGTTGAACATCTTGCAAAGCATGTTGAGTAGAAAAAGCACAGTGGAGATTGGCATTATTCTGCTCAAAGAGCACATTGTATTCCTGTGGCAGGAATAATTAATTAAACATCCTTCTGGGCATACATGTCATTGTTCAACATTCCATCCACGGACATCAAAGGCAAATGAAAGTTGTAATTTATGTATCTCTGTACTATGATACCAGGTGTTGGACCTGCATGTCATGGGCAAATACATTCTGAAAGAGGGCACTCTACAGGTTTACCTTACATACACAAATGACCCCCACTAGCATGAAGGCAGAACCTGCTCTCATCACTGAAAACTAGAGTGCTTTCAAATCCACGAGGTTGAACCTCTTGTTACATTCCTATATGCACAAGTGTTGTGGTGTAAGTGGAAATCTAACAAGATGTGCACATACCCATAATATTACTGTAAGTAAATGACTCCCAACAGTTTGCTACGTTTGCTCAGATCTGTGTGGTAGACATTATATAGTTACTACTGCTGTCCTTAATGTTGATGTTGGCAAGACAAGGTAGTATGTGACTAAACATAACCTAGTTTATAGTGTAGGTATATTCATTTGACCACTTTTGACAATATCAAAACAACTAGTTCATCATGCCCAACAAGTATTACAATTCTCCAAAATGACAATTCCATCCACTTGAAGACCCACAGTCAGATGCCAATAAAATGGCTCCAATTAAGCAATGTTTCTGGTATGAATGTTGCTAACACTGGACTCTTTCACCATACTGAATCATATTAATGCAATGTGTATCACTGTCTAAAACTTAGACACAGACAAAGCTATCAGTATTATGTTGCAATTTTATTTTCCATCAAATACATTTAACGAGATGTTCTCAAAGATCATCATTAAACTTTATTTTTGTTTGTTTTTTTAAATCTTCTTTTAATGTTAAATTCAAATTGAAAACAAAGCAAACAGCTTCTGACTGATCTTTTGGTAATGCAGCACTTTTTTTCTTTTTTTTTGCTCAAGGTCAGTGTGTAGGATCCGATATTATAAATTTAATAAAAGACAACTTTCAACTCAAATTTTTAATACTAAAACACCAATTTTCAAAAAGTACAGTATCTTAAATGTTAAAGAAAATAATTTGTCATTTTCCTAGATTTCAATATCAAAAATCAGTTAGGCAAGTCTTAATACCTAAATAAGCAAAAATAAGTTCTTTTGACCAATTCATTTTGTTGAACAATCAACTCAGTAACCATGCATTATATCTGATTTCTGTCTTAGAGAGAAATATTTGGAACTGAAGAGATAAAATCTCTTTCCAAATACCCACTCTCTCAATGGATCACCTAAAAGCTTACTTTTCATGCACATACAGATCATTTGCTAGTTTTTGAACACATATCCTAAAACAAAGACAGTTTGAAAATGCTAACCTTTATTTTCAGGCTTTATTTTTCCTTCTAGCCTAGAATTTTCTCTGCACATGTACAAGTGAGTGCTGAAACGTTTTCAAAATCTAAAGATTTCAGCATCCCTTGTATAAAGTGTGTATATTTACAATGAAAATCTACAAATTAACATGTTTTTTAAGGAACGGTACATGAACAAAGCCTGTTTTGACAACCTAACTTACACAAATTTTTTTAATTTTTTGTAGAGCCTGCACAAAGATTGAAGATTTCAAAGGAAATTTATCTGAACCTATAAGCTTTAAAACACTCCCATGTGAACCAGATCCTCCTCAACATCCCAGATTATCAAGCAAATCTAAAACCGGCTTGGTCCTTAAATGGAATGTAAGTTAGCATTCTTTACTCTCCATCCATTTTCCTTGACACCTCCTGACTGTAAATAATGTTAATTATTCCAAGAATAAAAAAGGATACAAAAATTCAGCTAAATGTTTTTAACTATCTGCTTATTATGCATAAGAATGTCTGCATGTTTATGCATTAAGTTTTTAGGTGAGCAATTGATAACCTTCACTTGAATATGTATTTTTATGTATATTTTTTTTATATAAAAACTTTTTATTTATGCATGTCCATCAGTTAGTCCAGTCTAATGAGGAAAAAGCATTTATGCTACAAATTTATTTTTCAATGTCATTTCCTTTGTTATTGCAATTGGGTATTGAATATTAATCATAAAGATCCAACATGACAGAAAATTTCAGTTCAAATGTCAACTCATAACTGTGTCAGATTATGGACTTATTGATTCACCTTTGTATAATGTGTTAATGAAAACTTCTCTAATGAATCATGCATAGTGTTGCCATAATTTTGAAGTCTCTCACAAAGCTGTTAGTTGGTGAAAAAAAAGAAAACTTTGAAGTATTTAATTGTAGTTGTGGACATTTTAATATTTCTAATTCTCATTTGATGTTATCTTTATCTACAGTGTTTAATTATTTTAATGTTTTTCTTCTGACTATTTAGATCCTTAAAAAAAAATATCATCCTCATATCAACATTTCAAATTGATAACATACAGTGTGCCATGGGTAAATTGTCGCTATTGTATATATTTAAAATTTCATGCATGTGCTTTGTTTGTTTTTGATTTTGCCAACTGCACATTATAGTATGGTCAGTTGGGAACCATCTATGGAAAAGGAGCACCATGATGCAATTCAATCTGCCAAAAATTTATAAATGGCATGCTGTACTGCTTGGTATTCATGCCAGAAGCTCCGATACAAACATTTCAGTGTTTGGGTGTCAATCTGAGGACAGTGCAGAGGGTTCAGAAAGAGTTGGATGAGTCTAATGGTGATTACAAAGGTACAGCAGCTCAGAAAACTCACTCTGATCATTCTGATAAGAAAAGAACTCCCAAATTTGTTGATGAGGGCCTCAGACTCGACACAGAGGCCTACATCAAGTGTCTTGAAGAGGTAGTGCTGCCCTGGGTCTGCTGGACCCTATATCTGGCAACAGGACTCTGCACCATGCCACACAAGCAGGAGAACCCAGTAATAGGCTGTTAGACAATTTCTGCGACCACATCTCCCCTTACATCTGGCCACCTAACTTCCCAGACTGCAACCCCCTTGATTATTATGTGTAGAACACAGTTGAGTGAGAGACCAACAAAAATCTTTGTAATACCAAAGATGAACTGAAGGCAAAGATTATGGCAGTATTCACCAACTTAAACAAGGAGACCATCCAGAAGAGTTGCAGGAGATTCCAAAGTTGTCTAGAGGTCATGGTTAAAGCCAATGGCAATTTTATTGAATAAATTTACTCTTTAGTATTTCAGATATTATTCTGTAATTTTGGTAAAACGAAATGTCAATGTTATTTTTGCTTTTGCATAATTTAGACGACAATTTATCCATCGCACTCTTTATATAGCAAATTTAACTTCTCTTAAACATAGAGGAGAAGATGAACACTTGATTTTATTTGTTTGATATTAATGCTCAATCTCTTAATATTGAGCACACTAATTACAAAGATTGATACCTTAAATGTGGCCTCCTCCTGAAATACATTGGTTGATGGTCTTTTTTGGCAAAACAATCATTATTTCATAAATATACAGGGTGCGATGGATAAATTGTCATCTAAATTAAGCAAAAATGAAAATAACACTAACATCTCTAAAATAAAATAATACTGAAATGCCAGATATAGGGTTTTCCAGCAGGGCAACACTACCTCCTCAAGGCACTTCATGTAGGCCTCCGTGTTGAGTCTGAAGCTCTCAAATTCATTTTTTTCTTATCAAAATGATCAGAATGAGTTTTCCAAACTGCTGTACCTTCATGATCACCATTAGACTCATCCAACTCTTTCTAAATCCTTTGCATTGTCCTCAGATTGACACCCAAACACTCTGAAATGTTTGTATTGGACCTTCCGGTGCAAATACCAAGCAGTACAGCATGTCATTTCCAAATTTCAGGTGGATCATGGTGTTCTTTTTCTCACAGACTGAGACTACTATATGTGCAGTTGACAAAATCAAAACCAAACAACATTAACACATGAAAGTAAAAATATAAAATAGTGACAGTTTACCCATCGCAGCCTATATATACAAAACTATTTTCAAAATGTTACATCATTCATTCTGTTTTTAACATAGTCTAGGAAAAAGTGTTTAAAAAATACAAGAAAATTTAACAGTAAAGCTACAAAATTGGTGCCATACTGACCTTTTTATTGCAAGGATTGGAAAGTGTGGTTAGATTGGCCAATTTGAATCACAGCTGTACTGAAGGCCTGGACAACCAACTATAAATATTTGATAATGAGTGAAGATTTTAGAGAAAGGCATTTAAAATTCTTCTCTTTCCAGACTCTCCCATCTGCTAAAATTATTCAACTGCATGTCATGTCTTGACTATTTTTCAACCATAACATAATGATTATGGTCTTTTTGTTCCTTTTTTGTCTTTTATGTCTGTGCTTTGGTCTAATTTCCATTCTGTTGACAATGTTTAGCCTGTAATTCCAGTTTACAGTAGTACGTGTTTTGTATACCATTCATATCTCGCTGAACAAAAAAATTCCATTCATTGGCAAAATGTGTAACACTAACCAAGACCTGTTTTCTCATTGACTTCTCAATATTTTTATGTTGATGCCTGTTTGAGTCTGCAAGGGAGGAAGCATTTGTTTATTCATTGATCTATTAACAAATTTTACCTTTTTTTTTTTTTCCTTGTCTCTTAGTAAGCTGATGGATTAAGCATTATACAAGCCATAAGCTTCTTCAACAATAGTCATTTCCTCATCACTATTACAGAGCACTGATTGATTATATGACTTCCTAAAAAGCCATAATTTGTTAATTTTAGTAAACCTTTTAATAGCTTCAATTCTAGCACATGAAAATTGCAATCAGATAATTGTTTGAGCAAGGAGTAGTTACTGCATATAGTTAAGAGTAAAAAAAAATCTACCTGCTTTCTTTTTATTAAAAAGTTTTAAAGCATTTTTTCAAGTGGATAGATTTGTAATAATCCTAAAGGAACATTTCCATTAAGCAAAGTCTTTCAATAACATATCCAACAAATGTTGGATCTTGAGTAAAAGCATTTTTCTTTCATTAAAACTTTGCATTCCAAACATTTTAAAAGGATATATGTTGAAATTTAGTCCACAGGAGTAAATTGTTCTAATTCCAAATAACTTTAAATCAAGGGCACATGGCCCAGTGGATAAAAGCATTGGTTGAATAATCTAAGAAGTGACTTGACCCAAAGAGTTGTGAGTTCAATGCCTGGCCAAGTAGAGGGAACAAAAACGTCAACTGATTTAATTTCTCTGAAAATTAAATGAAAATGTTAACAACATCTAAACTTAGATTTTATGGAATTAAATAAAGTAGTGGGGAGGGTTGACTGATCTTTTTTTTTAAAAAAAAGTTTCACAAATTTTACTTATAAAATTACCTTTAATAAAAATAGCCATTTATAAATTAAATTTGATAATAATTTGATATTTGTACATTTTTAAAATGTTGGTATTGTTCATGTAAAAGTGTTCACAATGCTGATTATTAAATCACATTGTTTTTATACAATGTAAACAACTCTTCAAAGACAAAAATATGATGTTTTTATATTAGAATTTTCTTCTGTCATTCTTCTTATAAATGGAACAGACATTTTTTTTGTATGAAATTTACATCTTACATTTCCCATGCATTTTTATCAACACGCATTGTCTTGCTATTAAAAGTTCATGATAGTCTCTAACTAAAAATGATATAGTTCCCCTTTATGTACTCGTTAATTCTAATGGCTTTTGTTATTTCCATTTTAATTTCTGTTGTATCTAAAGTTCCTCCATATCTTCATAATGCACCTGCTTTATTTTACAACTTTCTCTCTATAAAAATATTATCCATTGATTTTTAATTGTTTTCCTATTTACAGGCTGCTTGTGAAAATGGTTCAAAAATTTCAACATATTCTTTAGAATATGATCAGGTCAGTGTATAATAATTTTTATTTAAATTCTCTTCGACATCTTAAGGAGCTCTTGCAGTTGGATAAAGAATTTGGACTTTGCTGTTTGTATTTTCAGCAATATCTTGTGCTTTTTAATTGAAAAAAACAATAAAAACAGGTTCATGCAACAAAGCATTTGAAATATGATTCTCTTAGAATATGAATATTTTTTCCCTTTCTTAAAGAAGGGAAACTAGTTTTGAAGAGGCCAAAATATTTGCAGTTTCAAAGTTTTATAAAAATGGTCTCTTTTCATTCAGCTTTTTGCAAGATACCAATGAAAAAATAGCTTCTTCCTTCAGAACAAGTTGCAAAATAAAAATGTTTTTTAACCCAAAATACATAAATCTAGCAATGAGTACAGCATAAGTAATATACATGTGAAATGATTAAAAGATCAGTGTCGAATCATTAGAATTAAGCACTTATAATACTTTTGCTTTTTTTTTTTTTTTTTGTTACATACAATTATACATTTAGATCAAGAAGAAAATTCCTGTCTGAAAATTTTCTTTTTGTAATTTTTTGGTTTGCTTCTTTTCAAAAGCTATACATTAAAGTAACTTACATTAGGTGATTGAATTTGGATCCAAAAATTAAGTAGAAAATTCTTTTCTAATTCAAGTTATACATTTGTGTTTCATAGATTTATATCTATCCTCTTATTAATTCTTGACTTGAACTTTTAAGATGAATAACTGATATTCTAATAATGTCTTTTTTCTTTCTTTCTATTTTTTTTGTCAAGAGTTAAAGAATTAAGATAATTTCTTAAAGTTCTGCTTTTGAACTCTTGTGCCCTAAAAATGTATGATGAAATCAAACACCTGTAATATTCTCTTACTCTCCTTCTTTAAGCACTATATACACACCCCTATTGGTATTATTGAAGTTTTTGTTTCTTTTTTTTCCAGGGCTTAAACAATGGTCAGTTTGTTGAGGTATATAATGGATTACTGAAACAAGCCCGAATTCAACAATTACAGGCCGGCACAAAGTATACTTTTCGTCTTGCTGCCATCAATAACAATGGTAAAAGGTATTTAGCTATTTTCTTTATATTTCTATATGGTTCAGTTTGCTTTCTTCATCAAGTATCGGTTGACACTCATTCATCATTTTTTTTGACTGGTCTAGCTTCCAGCTTTCATGAATCAACATGGGTGGCAATAGACCATTTAGAATATAGATTTTTTTTTTTTTTTTTTTTTTTTTTTTTTTTTTTTTTTTTTTTTTTATAAATTGGACATGCCTGTTAAAGCAGTCTACATCCTACCAGTTATTTGATGACATGTTGGTGGATACTCACTCAATTGTTACCTAAAAGAGGCTTCTTATCAACCTTAAGGAAACCACTTGATGTTTATAGCAGATGTTTCACAGTTCCAATTCAGTCTTTAAATTTGAGCTGAACTGTTATAAATACATTCAAGCTTAGGGAATGTCTGAACATCACAATAGTTTTGTTGGAATTTGTAAAATTATATATTCAAATGTACAGAGACAATTTCAGATCATATTTTTGTCAGTTTTTTTTTTTATTTCTATATTAAATTTGAAGACAGCACGTATTTGAATTTTCAAAAAGATTAATTTGTATGTGTTGTGTATTTCAGTCTTGAACTCATTTGAGTGGGATATTTTCACATTCTAAAAATAAATACAAGCTGTATAAACAGGCAATGTTATTGCAATGAGAAGTTGGTTTGTTTTGCAGTGTTCTTTTTTTTTTTTTTTTTTTTTTTTTTTTTTTTTTTTTTTACAGTGTCAACTATTACATGACAAGAAATAGGAAATAACAAATATTTATATCCTGGATTATTATAACTTCATTTATATATATATATATGTATGTGTGTGTGTGTGTGTGTGTGTACATATATTACAAAGACCACAAAATATTTCATATAGGTTGTGGGTTTTATTTCTATAATCTAATTGCATTGTTAATTTTACAAATTTGCTCAGAGGGGTCAACATTATGTCTCTATTTTTTCTCTATATTTTAATGTAATCATTTTTATTTCATTTTTTTTTCCTGTATGCTTCCTTAATCAAACTTGTATATTATTAACACTTCAGTTGAAGATTAAATAAGTTAATAAAATATAACTATTTTTTTATTTTCTAACATTGTAGCTAAATTAATTCAAAGAGGCATTTTTGGTGCAAATTGCACTGTATGACTGTAATAGAGCATAAAACTCAAATTTTATAGAATGAGTTACCAATAGGATTCAAAGAAATTGTCAAATCCATTAAATAGCAAAAGCTTTGTTTACTCTTCTCTTTTGGGAAAAGATCTCCACATACAAATATTTTGAGTTGGTAATTTCAAATAATGAGAAGTTTATTTAATTTTCCATGTAAAGCAAATTTTTCAAACCAATGATTTTTTATTTGATTCAAACTCTGTTTTATTTTATAGCCGGTTTAGTGAGCCTGTAAGTTTCCACACAAGTGGCTGTGCTCCTTCTCAGCCTGAGCATCCCAAACTGGACAAGGCTTTTATTAACTCCCTTGTTTTGTCTTGGGTAAAACGAACAAATGATGAAACATTTGTTTTACAAATGGAAGATGAATCAACAGTAAGTAATTTCCATTGATATTTTATACTTCTGTTACATTGTGATAGTAATATCAGTTATGAACTATAATTCTTTTTAATATTTCATGAAACATGAATGGTATCTATGTAAACACCTTTGCGCTTACAAAAGAAAAGAATGATGCTAGAAACAAGAAACTGTTGACATAAGATTTACATTTTTTGTATTTTGTTGTTATTCTTAGTTTTCATGATTTGCTGTTTGATACAGTCTTTTATCAAGTGTTTTATCCAAGATAAAGGAATGACTTCCTTTGAAAGTTGAGCATATTACATTGATAGTTTTTCTGAGTATGTGAATGGCACTCATAGATACAATCAGCTTGTGATAGGTTTCCTAGGATTTTCAAATATTCTTAGTGCTTCTATTATTAGTGGAATAATGGTTGTGTTGATGTGTCACATTCTTGAAATTTCTATTTCCAGGTCATTATATTTTTAAAGAAATGCTGAGAAGTTTTTATCTAACACATTGGACATATCTATGTTATGTTTTTTGAAGCTTTTATTATTGTATAATGCAGTTAGTATATATGGTAAAGTTCCAGAACTCTGAAACATCAGCATATATACTTCAACTTTTAGCACTGATAAGGGTTTGTGTTCTTACCAGTATTCAGCATGGGTAAGGTTAAAAATTTTGGCATATTTTTCAATGCAAGTATTTCCCGACCCTACCATGTCTATATTTAAATTCATTTAGAGCTAGGCTTAGAGCACTTATATATTAGATAGTCAATAGTTCCTTTGGTATTTGTATAAAAGCAGCTTTTTGGAATTGTCCCATTTATTTATATATATATATATATATATATATATATATATATATATATATATATATATATATATATAAGGATCTTGGCAGGTTTGCAGCTTCAGCAGCCAAGATAAATCCCTCTGTTTCTGGTTTCACCACTGATGGGTCAGACATTTGTCAACATCAGATTCTTGTGCTTGCAATAGGTTTTTCTTCAAACTTGGTTTTTCAGGTTAGTTAGGTCCTTATTTTTTGTTTTGTTATTTGATGTTTTTGGTTGGTACTTTTGATATTTCACAATTTCATCTTGTTTTTATGGTTGTGGATCTTCTTTGAATTTTTGGATTTCTTTAAAAAAAAATTTTTTTTTCATAGGGGGAATTTACACTGGTAAACAGGTTTTAGCATCCAATCATTAGTGGATACAAGATATCTTTCAAGACCTATGGTTGTAGTCTTGTATATAAATTCTAGTTGAGTCACTCCTCTACTTCCCCTGCCCTAGGCAGGTACAATTAATGTGCATTTGTTTTGCAATAATGCATGTTTTATGTGGTAGGAAGTTTTCTGATCTTTCTATTCTTCATATCACTTCTAGATTCCAGTTTATCATATTGAAAAAGTAACAACAGGTATTGCTAAAGTGTTAATAACTTCAAATTTACTTTTTGCATTTGTCTTTTATTTATACCAAGATATTTAGGTATTATTTTATTATTACACCCATAAGACAAAACTGCTCTCTATTAATCGCCACAGAGATCCTTCCCTTCCCTCCATTAGAATGTCTGACGCTCAACTTCTCGAGAGCAACTCTCTGCGGCTTCTTGGTCTCATGTTGACTGCTGACCTGAGATGGAATAAATACATTGAGTCAATTGCCTCATCCACTGCAAGGAAAGTTGGCTCCCTGAGCCGCGCTAGGAAGTTTTTCTCCCCGGAGTCGATCCTCCAGATCTACAAATCCACAATTCGCCCTTGCCTGGAGTATTGCTGCCATATATGGTCTGGTGCCCCTTCTGTTTGCCTCGGGGTTCTTGATAGGCTCCAGAGGCAGATATGCAATGTGGTTGGCCCTGCCCTGGCGCCTGCTCTACAGTCACTTTCACAGACGCTGGCTGTCGCCTCCCTCTGTCTGTTCTACAAATACTTTCATGGAAATTGCTCCGAGGAGCTGCATTCGCTGGTTCCCAGACGTCATAAGTTCCAGCGTCCTATGAGGCTGGCATCCCGCTCTCACCCCTTCACTGTCAAAACTCCTAAATGTAGCCGTCTCTTCTACTCTAATAGCTTCATGTCTCGCACCTCTCGCCTGTAGAACTCCCTCCCCTTCTCCTGTTTCCCTGTGAGCTATAATCTCCAGCTATTCAAATGTAATGTCAATCAACATCTCCAGTTGCCTTGATCTATCCACTACCCTCATCCTTTCTTCTATCACTCCTATCTGATCTTGCTCTAAATTTTCTGTAACCCCTTGCGTCCTAGTGGCTTCCCGCCTTGCTTGGGGTGAAATGCTTTAAAAAAAAAAAAAAAAAAAATCTCATCCCCAGCTATTATTTTCAAATAACCAATGACAGTGAAGTAAGTGCAGAATTGATCATGTGCATTAGGTCAGTAATGGAGAGAGGTGTAATAGTAAAAATTTACCAATATTTATAGCTTTTTTCTTAATCTAGTTTATAAATTACAGGTTTAATTTTTGTTTTTTTTGGGGGGGGGGTTTTGTTTTACTAATTTTTATATGCATTGTTCATACAAATTTGCCTCTTTTGAAGGTTACCTTGGCACATACTCTTTGATCAAATTCCATGACAATATCTTTACTGTTTTTTTTTTCTTAACCCTCTAAATCATTATTATTATTTGAAAACAGTTTGCAAGTCATCCATGTAGAATAATTAACTAATAAATCTATTTGATAACCACAAGTTATTTCATTTGATACATGTATTAATACAAAACAATAGTCAAAAAGGATTCTCCGTCATATTTCTCTATTAATCCTCTAATTACATTGGTTTGAATTGTCTAATTAAGTCTAAATACTTTGTTGAACAAATTGTTTTAGGCTACTCAAAACATAAAATACTGAAGATCCTTTAAGCCATAAATTCTTTATTTTCAGATAATACATCAAATTATTATTTTTGCTTTTTCAAATATTTCAACCTCTCTGGAACTTCAAGTCTAATCGCTTTAGAATCATTTGAAGTAAACAAGAATTTCCTTTGACAGGCAAAATATGATGTTTTAAATAAGTACAATTAGTAGGTAATGTGTTGCATTTTTTTGTATCTGTACAATTTTACTATCTTGATTGGCTACAAAAGCAGACAGGCCAACAGAAGCACAGGTAAATGGAAGTTATCTTCAATGACATCTACTCCTTACAAATGTTGACTCATCAGCAGGCAGAAGGGCTAGGGAAGTACAAATATATTGATAATAACATAATAATGATTCAAATTAATTCTTGGATTAATTTTAGCATCCCATTGTCTATTTTTAATTTTTGTCTAAAGACTCAGATTTTGAATTGTATCCCAGACAGCAGACTTGTACAAGAATGGCATAACCAGTTTTTATACAGTTATTGTTGGTTGTTGTAGTGACACATCAACCTCTATGAATGCCAAGATGTAAATATTTTTTATGCACTTTTATTATTCTTTTGGAAATAATAATAGTTTTAGTGATATAAGGCTTACTATTTAACCCATAGCTGAGTGGAGAAGAGGTGGATTAATACCTTTCCAAAGGGTATTTGCATGTAAGTGAATATAACAAACCCAACTGAAATTGGAATTATACTCTCCAATTAACAACTCCAAGCAATTATCTATTACACCACCCACACAGCCAAGCTTACAGCACTTGGATTCCCAAGCAGTCACCCATCTAGGTATCGACCAGACTTGATGTTGCTTAACTTCAGTGATCATACAGGAAGCAATTTTTCAATGTATTGTGGCCATAAGCCTGTACAATTATAGTGATTTTTTATTCTCTATATATTGAAAATTATTTATATAAAAAATAAATTATTTTTATTGTATCACATATCAATTTCAAATTATTGTTTTTAATTTAGAAAGAAAATTTTTATCATATAGAATAAATAAAATGGATTGCCTTTGTGGCAACAATCAACAAGTGTTTTAAAAAGGTTGAATAGCAGAAACAGCATAATGACTTTGAAAATAATCAAAAATAAACATTAGGTTATTAATGAATTACTCTGAATCTGACACAGACCTATCAAATAAAGTTTCATATTTTTTAATTTCATGATATGAACAAATGCAAAAACACTATTTTTTTTTGCAGGATTGTGCCTTGGTAGTTAAAATATTGGAAAAGACAATTTTGTGTAGAAATTTTGAGGAAATGGATAGTATATTTCTATTTTTTTATCTCCAAAGACTAAAAACAGACAATGAAATACTGAAAAGTAATCTAGTAATTGAACAATTTCATTAATCCATTTTCATTTCATCAGAAAGATATTTGCACCCTTTCTCCTGTTTGCAGCTAAAATCAAACTATTTTGCTTAATTTATTCAGGTAAATTAACCAGGAATATAAAGCAATGAGAAATGTTAGAAACTGTTAATTGGTTAACATGTTTTCTACCTCATATGAAACAATGCTATCAAAAGTTTTTACAATATGGTATTGACAAAATCATCATAAGAGTATAGGAGCATCACTATAGCTTATAAAAGGTTGCAACTGATAATCATAAGAGTGAGGAAAAATATTTTGCTCTTAACTCTGTTGCTAGCATTATATCTCAAATTCTTTCTAGATTTATAAAAAATCCTGTGTAACTTTATTAGTCAAATATGGTGTCTAATACATTTACCCACTTTATATATATTGTCCTGTTGACTATATTGATGGGAGATTACAGTTTTAATGACTTTATGTAGTAGTCACATTGGTGAAGGAAAAAATAGTAGTGTTTCTTTTTTATTTATTATGACCGATGGATGTTTTTGTGTTGCGGCCTTGATAACATGACTACACCTGCTGCAGTTTCTCCACAAAATCTTTTCTACCAAAATCTCGGTGCCTTGTTTTGTATTTACCAGAATGCTTACTTTGTACTGAAACTTCAGCATGTAGTAATAGTAATGCCTGTAGTTGAGTGGATAGTTTGTCAATGAAAGACATTCACAGCTGAAAAGATAAAGATTGAAGAGCATGCCTGCTAAAAATTGACAATTAAGCCTTTAGGGATTTCAACAGCTTATGAAATCAATTGTTTTCTCATGATTGATAAGAGGTTAAAATATTTATTATGCTTTTATTAAGTATTGTTCATATTTACTTTCAATTCTTCAGGTTATTATTATTAAGTCAATTATTTCTTTCTGAAGTACACGTTTACCTGGATTAAAAAACAGTAATGTATCTTTGTATTGACTTAAAGCTTAACTTATACTAAGAGACAGAAATTTATGCATATTGCTAGCTACAAAATATCACCATCATTTCAAATGATGGAGTGTAGTTACTATGGTAACAGTTTCCAAGGGGTTTCTTATTTTACTACTATGCCCAAGCAATAGACAGAGATTGGAGAAAAAAAGCATGTCAAATTGAATAAGGTAAGTCAACCAAGTTGAAATAAATATACATACCAAAAGAAGGTTTAAAATTCTTTTTTCTTTATATACAATATGTCATAGATGTGTGTGTTTTTTTGGGAATTTAATTGTGTGCATGTGTGTACAACATGTAAGTTAATAGTACGTACTATACAATAAAATTTGAAGTCTTGTCTGAGAATCTTTTCAGCTTTCAAAGACTTGAGAGAAGAGTTTAAGAGCAAAAAGAAAGATGTTCATTTGAATTTTGTCAGACAGTGAAATGTCTCTTAAAATAAAGTTAATGCTGAAAATGGAATGGTGTGAATTTTAATGGAGGATTTACCCTTACTTACTGTTGCCCCAAAAACAGGCATATGAAGATGTCAGATTTTATTTTCAAGACATTGTTTTCACTATAAAATTGGTATTAGTAAAAGTATTTAATAAAATTGTATCTTCCTTCCAATTTGGTTTTCTAACACATTTCTTTATTATTTCTGACAGACTTCTTGATATCAAATGATACTTCAAAATGAATATGTAATTATTTGTCTAATGAAAAGTGCTAGAGTAAAGTTTTCACTGAATAATTTATCCTTGGAAAAATAAGGTCAGATATTTGATTTGGACACTGATTAAATGGAAACTATTCTAAATAATAGAACATCTAGTATATATTCTGAATAAATTAATATACAAAGGTTTAACATTTTAATGATTTTGGCTATGTAAACTTCTTTTAACCTAGATAAATAATGGTTTTAACTGAATCTTTATAACTACAAATAAAACCTGTAACTAACCTAAAGGTAATCAGAAGCTATAACTACTTTGTTTAAAGCATTAATAACAAAATTATGACTTGCTATTTTAGCAAAAGAAACTAATTGTTATTTGGACTTAAAAATGATAAATGTTTGCGCAAGTATTAATGACTCAAAATGCTAATATTTATTTAATAAAAAATATGTCCTTGCAGTTGTTTGTAAAAAGATTATAGCTTTTTAATTTTATACAGCTATCATAAAAATCCATATTAAATTTATATAACAGCTTTTAATAATTTTTATCTGTTATCTACTAGGTTAAGAAAGAAACCACACTTCTGCTAAGACCAGAGCCAAAAAAAAAAAAAAGAATTCTTTAATTCTTTGTTTTGTTTTTTTATTTATCTTTAAATGAAATTTATTTAAAGATGTCACTTGTGACATACACTTGTGTTATTGATCTATTGGTTGTAGCTGAAATGTTTCAGCATCCAATTGTCCTTTTAAGTAGCCAAATTTTTTGTGATGTTTAAAGTGGTTGGCTTTGGATTTGCCAGTGATACTGTTTAAATGAAAGTATATTTACTTTGTTTATTTGATCATATATATGTACATGTGATTTACTTACATTTTCTAATTGAATATAAGATATTTTGTTTGTTTGGTAAAAAAAAGATTTTTATGAGCTTTCCATGTATGATAATTTTAAGCTGTCTTTTTATTTCCAGGGTTATGGATTCCGTATCACATATAATGGGCCCAATACAACTTATCAAGTTGTGGAATTACGAAGAAACACAGAATACAAATTTAGAGTAAGTGTTACATTTTTTATTTTTAATTGCTATATTCTGAATCTCCTTTTGCATAAGACGATTGAGAAGGGAGAATTTAATTTGTTGGTGAAATGAAAATTTTTGGGTTCTTTTGGTAAAATACAAAAAGATCTCTTGTGCCTTTTTACTTTTAATAAGTTAATAAAAGGCGTTTGGGATAATGACCTTCTGTTAAGTGAAAGTAGTAAAAGCAAAAGACTTTTACTGTTACATTGCACCACAAATAGTAACTCTAAAGATAATAAATTATAAAGTTGCCTCTAGATAAATCAGACCTGAAGGGATATTGTTGTTTGCTTACATTTCCTGTTTACATTGCTTAGCTCCAGTGAGCCACCAAAAACAGGTGTTAGGAATGTGATAGAAATGAAATAATATTGTTCAGATTTTAAAACAAGCTTAACATTGAAAGTTTCTGGAATAGGTATTCTTGTTGTGATTAACAACAACAATCTGTTGTACTTGAAAAATGATTCTGTCTGAAAATAACAACTAGAATGTGCTTTCAAGATTCCAATGTCCCATCTGAACAGTTTACCAGATGAGGCAGAAAGGAGACAAAAAGAAAGAATTTATATTTTAATTATCCTAGCTGTGTGGCTGGTTTAATGAAAGTGGACAGTGCTGTTCAGATTGGTAGTTTTCACCTCTGTTCATGTACCATAACAGAACTGACTTTTCTTCTAATCATAGCACATTACTTATAGGCAGCTTATTTTTTATACCTTTGCATATTTTAGTATTTCCTCTTTGTGCATGGTTGACAAAATTTAAATTTCTAAATCCACCCTCTTTTAGCATAAAATGATTGGCTAAGGTTTGAACACTGAAATATTTTGCATTAATAATAATAATAGTTGGAAATATATCTTGATCTTACCAGAAAACTGAAAAACAACTACGCATGAAAGTGATAATTATACTCCTCATTAGTGGTGTACTTGATGCAGTCCTGTAGAACTTTGCAGAAAGACTTCAAGAATTAAAACCATCCACAAACAATAGCATTACCAAAATCTGTTAGCATAGAACTTATGGTTACATCTAGCCATTTCAACTGTAAAATGAGACATTACTGCCTGTCTAGTACTGTGCTTAAATTCATAAAGTCTAGGTACCATAGAGGAAAATTTATCAAAACAATTACCATGAAATTATTTATAGAAAAGGCACAATGAAGCTACATTATGGCAGTAGGAAAGTGACTGATGCCAAGATGTTGATTGTAGATTCTTCTTTGGATGAAGTACTGGGAGGAGATTTGTTGTCATTTGATTTCTAGTGAATGCAGTGAAACATGACCTGTGTGAAAACTGAATTAATAATTTGAAATGATTCTACTAAATAGGACATCAAATTAAGTTTTCTATGTGTCATTCTGGAACCATCTGATTTTACTCACCTAAAACAAATTTCAGTCACTTTTAACCTATTATGGTTATTAATATTATTAAGAAAAACATTATTTTCAGACATTAGTTATACTTTGATACAAGTGTATGCATACTTAAGTGTACACAGTTTGATCAAAATAATGAAATAGTATTAAAAAAAAAGAACTAATTAAATGTATATGTTCTTATGTTTCCGTTTGTGCTGCTACTTTAAAATAAAAATGGCAGTTAAGTTCAAAACCTATGATCTTGAATATCTTGAAACTGGTTGCCATTATTTGCTCAAGGGTATGCTGAAGAAATACTTGGTTCGCTTGTGTTGAGGAATGCAAGAAAAAGTTGTCTCAGATTGCATCAAGTATAGTAGATAATAATCTATTCAACTTGTAATTATTCTTGTCATGTGGATTGTATTGCAAATTTTATTTAATTATCTATGGAACTGTACAAAGTGACATCTTTTGGGGAAAGGTCTTTTCTTATTTGAAATAACTTTCTATTCTTTCTAATGATGAATCTTATTCAGTTTAATATTTTAGTGTCATCCTGTATTACTGAAATATATCAGCTTTGTCAACATACATAAACTGGTGAGCATAGATTGCACAATGTCTGGTGTTTTTTATTCACATGAATGTATGAACATTATATTAGTTTTTTTTTTTTTTTTTTTTTTTTTCTCAGATTTTTATCAGAACTTACATTCTGGTAAAAAGTTTCCTTTGCCAATTTCTTGTCCTTTACAATATAAAAGCAATATCAGTTATGCAGAAATTTTATAATGTACCAACTCAGTTCACCACTTGAGGTACTGAAATCAAGTGTACCTCTTTTGAGGCCTTGATCTATCTTGAGATATACATCCCTGCAAACTACTTCCTCTGCTTGTCAAAAATGGTTTTCTATTTCACAGCCAATTAATGTTTGTGTTTAGCTACCATCACAGAGTTGTTGATTACATAATTTTAATGAGTTGCCATACAAAATACTAATTATACTGAGAAAATGTTTTTGCTTTATTTAGCTGTTTTTAAGGTCTTAAACTAAATCCTTATTAATAGCCTGAAGAAAAAAATGAAGTTCACTTTCGATTGTATTTAGAAGTAAAAACATAACGGAAACAACTGTAATAAAATCAAGTAGGAATTTAAATAAAAAAAGATTGTGTTTAAAATGAATACAGTAAACTAATATAATGGACCTAACTTTATTTTTAATTCAGTTCATTCTCCAAGTCTTGAAAAATACTGTTCATCTGGCTAATTTTCAAACTTCCAACTATTAAATTTATCATGGCTCTGTTTTTATATTTGCAAAACAATGTACTTAATGAGCATGATGACCAAACCTGAACGCAGTCTTTGTTTAATTTGAGTTAGGGTCAACCTTTGACATGCCTTTGGCCACCCTCTGTAATGGGAACTTAGAAATGATTTGACTGAAAATATAAATTCTGGAATGGTAAATAACCAGAGAGATCTAACAAAGTTGCAAATTATTTGTGGCATACATTTTTATCCATGAAAGAAAAAAGTATAAACTGCCTACAATCAAAATTTGGGATTTCTGTTCTCTTATTCAACATATTTATTCTATTTTACATAAAGAATTTTTTTTCAAACTCCATAATTTGATTGTCACCCAAGCCAATACAATTTGTTTTTACTATAACTGGCTGAAGAAGCAACTATAAAATGTTGGTTAGAACTCATAAAAATGTGTTTTTTAGATTTTCGCATTCTTCCAGTGTGGTTTTGTATCCCAGCACTTACTTCATTGTCATATGTCATGAATTTTTTCCGCTTTGAAAAGAAACAAATTGTAAAATAATTTCAATTTCACCAGTTTTCCATTAATTGACCTGATTTTTTTTATCCCTTAATCTAGTTTGATTAATCACTTTGATGCCCAAAACACAATAACATAAAAGAGTGTTGTTCGTATTTAAAATGTCTATCAATTATTGACTTATTACATAGAACGTATATTGCTCTAATATTTAGTTGATAATAGAAATTCACTTAATAGTTGATAATAGAAATTCGCTTAAGAGTTAGATGATAAAAGAATTTGCTTGATAGCTCATAATAGAAATTTGCTTAAAACCAAGTGCATAAATTTTCTCCCTCACCATTGTCCGTTTATTCACTGGTGATACATTTTAGCTTGGAGTTGAATTGCATCTTAAGATATCAGTATCTCTTGGTTACTTTTATTTTACTGGTTAGATTTATGAAGCATGAATCTCTTCTCTGCAAATGTCACTCTCTTCCTTATGCCAACTCTATTAAATCCTTGCAATGTCTGCATTTAATGGTGAATAAAATGTTTTTAATGGCCTTACAGATTTATAAATGTAAGCTGGCTCCTTTTCTTTCATTTTTTTTTAATACAGAATGCTTATGAGATTCACTAGCAACTCTTTTGAAACAAATTTTTGATATATAAAATTATATCACTGGGTTTTTAATATTCTATTTTCTCAATGAACTTTCTTCATTTGTTTTATTTTAAGCTGTTTACTTCTATTAGTAGCAAAACATTTTGCATTTAATTTACATTAATCTGCTGCTTGATTTTTATATTTAAAACTTTTAGAAAGTAAGATAAAAATTTGTACCATGTAGAAATTCCTTTTTCAGAAATTTCATTATCATTTGGCAATTGGAAATAACTTTTTTACAATTTTGGGCAAGTAATTGAAACTTATGAAATTTTACTTTAATTTCTCTTATTTTTATTGAAATATATAATTGTCTTGAATGACAAACTTCAGGGAATGATTTCAGTTGAAATATATTTAATAATAGCAAAACCCTATATTTGTATGACACTTTTTTTTAATTAATTACCTTTTTAATATCTTCTTGATTTCAGCTAGCAGCCAAAAATGATGAAGGTCAAAGCAAATGGAGTGATATTGTATCTTACTGCACATTACCAGAACCTCCACTGCCACCAGGTAAACTCCAGGTCAAGGGCAAAATCCATGCCTTTTACTTCAAGATTACTTGGGGTAAGTAACAGGATTTTCATATTTTAATAAATAAAATAAGATTTTTTTTTTATTGATATGATATTAGTATTTATTGATTCTAACGTTGTCAACTCAGTAAAATTTCAAGAAAGAAGTCTTTTGAGGGCTGTGTCTTCATGATCTACCTGTCTTTTTCTTTATTGGAATTTATATTTTTAGACTCAAACAAAATTTTTTTTTAAATTTAGGAAGTAAGTTTATACAATGTCAGAGAAAGCATGAAAAATACTACACAATCTTTTATCAAACAGAGAAAATGAACTAACATTGTGTAGAATTAAGAGCAGCTAATCTGTTCTTAACATTTCTTAGCAGTTATTTAAACAAGGATAATGTGTGGGAGGATTTTATTAACTATTTTGTCATTTTCAACTTTGTAGTTATTTTAGCATGTATGTCCAATATACAAAAAGAGATACAACTGGTTGCAAAGCAAAAAAGAAAAAAAAAGGCCTCTTGACAACATAGCCACAATCTTGATTGATCCATTATAGTGCAGTGTTAACTTTTGAGATTTGTTTGTTCTTGCTTGTCACTGCATCAGCTGAAATTGCCAATTTGATAGCATTTTGATATCATTGTGCTTGTAAGTTTCATCAAGAGCACGAAACAACTTTAAAGTGTTGAAAGTTGTAGAACAGAGATGTTAAAATAGTTTGCAAGATAGTTTGTTATGCTAACTTTAAGGCCAAGAGATCATTAATGTGCAGCAAAAGAGATTATATCCAAAGTTAACAAGTAAGTGTGTGAAGTATTTTAAACACTTTTGTTGACTTTCTTTACATTTTCTGACTTAATAAAGTTTGTAAAGTTATTCTTTCATACATGCATTTTCTACATGAAGACATTTTATGGCATTCTCATGAGAAAATCTTCCAAATTGTTACTCTTGAATTTTTGGTTGAGAGAAATTCTAGATTTGTTTAGTGTTTGTACTGTATGTATACACAATAAGACTAAGATGAAAAAGATTTTACTATCCTAATTTGTTGAACAAACCAACGAATAATATCTTTATAAAGAGATAAAATATATTTCTTTATAGTAGGATTATCTACAACTGGTTCATTTATTTTCTAAAATGAAGCATAAATTCATGGTATAAAATTTTTTTTTATAAAAAGATTAACAAACTAATGAAAATTAGTAAAATCAACACAAACTTTGTTATCATTCTTTTCTATTGACATTTGTAATTTTCTATAATATTTTTTTAGCCTTGAATTTCAGATCCCCCAAGGATGATGGTGGCTCAAATATTTCCAGTTATCATGTTGAGATTGATGATGGATCAGGTGAATATATACTTTTGAGTTTTCATTTCCTACCCCCAATTCTTTTTGCATGTTTTGTGTCTTTCAAGTTTGGGGGGGGGGAAGCAATTTGTAGATGTAGACAAAGCTTACCTTAGCATCACGTCATGCTATTTGTTTCTGCAGAAACCACTAAAATTAAAAAAAAAAAAAAAAGAGGAAGGTTGAGTTGAGAGCCCACCTTTTGTGATTCCATATCAATTCTATACTTGTTGATCAGGTTTGAATAGAAAAAAAAACTTCAAAAGGCTACATTTTTTTTTTTTTAATAATTAAGTTCACTTGATACAATGCTTAAGAACTACTCAAAGTAGAAGGTTATTGTTAAAAGGATTATGATAAATAAGGTGAGGATATGAGTGAATAAGGATAACAATTGATTCTTGGCTTGAACAGATCAAGATTTTAAATATGACAACAGTTTTGTTTTAAAAGATACTTAATTTAACATGTATACATGCACACTCTCTGTTGGTTGGGTTATATATTTAGCTTATCTCGTATGTGTGCACACACACACACATATATATATATATATATATATATATATGAGGTACAGTTTCATTTAAAGTAATATAATTCTCTTTTCAAATATAGAAGCAATTTTTTTTATATATAAAATATGTCAGACACAATACTCTCAAAGTTATTAATCAGAAAGGTTATACCTTTTTATTATTAGTTGAAGTGGATGGATAATTTTGTTCTTGCATGTTTTGTTTATGTTCATAATGCTAATATGTTGAATAAAATGTTTCTGAAATTGATTATGTATGATTATTCTATGCCTAAAGTCATATTCTAAATTTTATTTTGTTGTAATGTTGTCATTGTTCAAAATAGCTCAGAATTAGGAAGGTCATAGTTAGAGCATTGAAGGAACAGAAGCCTATGTTGAGGAAATAAAGAATTGGTTTATTAAATACTCATACATAGAATGTAAAATACTTGAGAAAATCATATACTATTCAAATCCTTGTCTAATGTGGCAACTTACTATATTTATAAGTAGGAACAGTCCATTGTCACAGTAGTAGGGAAGAGCAGGAAGTAGTCTGTCCTACATATTTATAAAAATATTTGAAAAATGAATTAACTTACTTTAAAAGAGATTGATGTTTACTATACAGATAATTTAATTCCTTATTCTATTTATATACTTACTGTATCTCATTATTAGCCACTTCCTGTTTTAATGATAACAAAAATAAATGGATGGCAACATTTATGTGGACAGTTAGGATAAAAGCCAGTTCATTCTATGCAGATGTAAACAAATGGCATCCATTTGTATGAAATGTCTTGAAATGCAGTGTCTTAAACTAATAGCTATATTTTTAGTTTGAAGCTTTAAAGTGCATCATAAGACTGATCAGGTATGGATAAAGAAAAATGTGTAATAACTTCAGAGGTTGCATAATGTAAAATAACAGGAAATTAAAAAAAATTATTGGCATATAGCACGGAACTATGAAAAGATTTGTTAATGATCTGGAACCATTGCTGACAGGGGTAAGTTGGAGTCTTTAACACGTGCACTGTTTCAAGGATGAAATTTTTTTTAAACTTCATCTTTGACAAGGTTTGGAATTTTTAGGTGTTTTGGCATCAAAATAAAGAAAATGTTAAAATCACAGAATATCAGATCCTAAATCAAGCAGCAAATGTAATACCAATCAATAAGTTACCTTTTAAAAGACATTCATAAGAGAAATCAAATAAAATAGGCAAAAGAATACATGATGACTGATGCTTTATTTGCTCAGTCGGCTAGACAGATGCAGCAAAAACTGGGTATCTCCTGGGGAAAACTGCCCTTACAAGTTGATATCAACAAGGCAGACATGGTGATGCTTTGGGATGGGATAATAAGTAATGGCCCAAGGCAAGTCTATATCCATATACACACTTTTCACATACATATACACGCATACACATGCACATATATATATATATATATATATATATATATATATATATATATATATATATACATACATACATATATATATATATATATATAAAACAAAAATATAAAATATAAAAAATACATACACACACATACATGCATATATACACACATACATCCATCCGCATCCAGTCCTTCATATATATACACTTTTACCCACATATATACATATGGACATACGCATACGTGCACATAAACATATATACACATATATATCTACGTACATATACACCCATATACAAATATATATGAGTACATACATACCAAAACATGCACACACATATATATACCCATCTACATATATATCCATCCATCTACACACACATACATCCATATACGTATACATAAATATATACGCATACATGTACATCCATACATACACATACATATATCTATATACACACACCTACATATGTACACATATATACATACATACACACACAGCTAAGTACACATACATATATATACACATACACATACACATATATATATATATATATATATATATATATATATATACACACACACACATATATATATATATATATATATATATATATATATATATATATATATATATACATACATAAACACCTCCATACATATATATATACATACATATATATATATATATATATATATATATATATATATATATATATATAAATTTTAAATCTAAATAAGTAACATTTCAAACATTTGGGCATGTAAAATATAAATAAATAAATTATATATAAAAATACATAGCACATCACATAAACATACACAATGATACATATAGAGATAAACATAATAGTCATTCCATTAAAATGTCATGCCCGATGTTATTGGACTAAGATGGAACTGACATAAGTGACAACATGTTACAAAACGGTGTTCATGTTTTGAATCGTTTCTTATGTCTACATTTAGAAAATATCTCATTACGAAGATTCAGCAGCTCATCTCGATTCTTATCTTTGATAATGAAGATTTTTTTCCGCTATGCACAGATCACACCGATCGCGGAAGTTATTAGGTGTTCTGGCTCTTGATAGGTATCTCCATTTCAAAATTGGGTTTAATCCCTTATCCACCAGTTCCCAGTAGTGTTTGGATAAGGAAGTCTGTCTACTGAGGCATCTATATCTAAATGAGCATTTATGGTTGTATAGACGCTTCCAATCACCGGCGGATATACCTATGTATCTTTTTTTCTCGTTTATATTTTCCTCGGGAAAGATAGTTGCCTCGTATATTACATTTTCATACTTACATTTACTCCCGATTGGAAAATGGTCTTTATTCCTACAATTGCAGGTAGGGTTACTAGATTGAGTTCCATTACTGTGGTAGTTTCTGAGTATTCTGCAATTATGGGAAGATATGATTTTCTCTATATTTCTAACGCATGAGTAACTAATTTTTAGAGTCTTCCTATTGAAAATTTTACGTAGTGCATGTTTACTGTGGAAATGTTTATCAATTAATTTCAGAAAGAAACTTCCTATATCAATGCTAGAGAGTCTGCAATATGGTGGGTTGAACCATATTACCTTCCTCTTTCTGTTAGTTTTGTTATTATTCTGATTTACAAGTTCTCCATTAAAGCTTAATTCTTGTCTAAAACCACTATTTTTGAGAGCCTGATTGTATATAAATTTATTATCATTAAAGATTTTTTGGCTAGAAGATAGCCTATTTATTCTCGTATTCACAGTTTTGGGGATGTGATCTATCACATGTTTAGGGTGGTTAGAGTGGACGTTGATGTATAGGAGTGTTTGATCAACTTTATGGAAGGGTTTAAAGGTATTATCCGATAGATTGAGTGTAATATCCAAAAAGTTGACTATTTTCAGGTTGGAAGATATTTCAATTTTAAGGCCTAAGTATTTGAAAGCCCTAATTATCTTCTTATGTAAGCTGGAAGTCAAGGGACCATTGCTATTTTGGACAATGATTAAGCCGTCATCTCTATAAATTCCGACTTGGTTAAGGTTAACTACTCTACTCAAGGTGTCAAGAATATATATGCCCACCAGATCTGCAATTTGGGCAGAATCAAAGGCTCCCATAGGTACATCGAAACTACCATTATTCTTTTTCACCCAAGTAGCATCATTGTATTTAAGTATTGATCTTCTTGACGCTAAAATAATGTCCAGATCATTATCCGTTATTTTGGTATATTTTTTGGTGAAATTAAGGCTATTAATTAATAGTTCCTCCGAAATAGAAGGGTAAAAATCCAAGATGTCAAATTGGATGAAAGTGGCTCTACTCTTGTTAGGGATATTTTGGAACCATTTAATCATCTCCGCCGAGTCTTTCCAAAGGTTATAGCTGAAACCATGTTAGCAGGAAGGTTGGTTTTTAAATATTTTTTCTTAAATTGTTTACATTTTTTTACATTGTATTGTGAGCTTTTTTGATTAATTAAACAATTTTTTGACAAATGTTGCTTTTTGTCAAGTTTGGTTAGTCTTTTTTAATTGGATTTAATAAATACACACACACACACACACACAAAATATGGAAAAAGTTTTTTTTTTTTTTTTCAATTAACTCATGTTTACTTTGGAGTTTCATAGATGTGTGCATTTCGTGGCTGTACACATACAGCCATGAATCTTCAAAGTAAACACAAGCTAATTGAAAAAAAAAAAAAATTTTCCATATTCTATTAATGCTCTGTCCCTGTCTTCAATATTGAACACTCTACCACAAAGCCTGCTTGCCTTAAATGCCTTCTTATCAGCAAACTACTGGAAAAACCATTAATTTTGGTGTCAAAAAACAGTCTTTCAAACTCTCTCTCTCTCTCTCTATATATATATATATATATATATATATATATACACACACGCATACACATTTTACTGGAATTTTCTGACGTTTTCCTAAAACTATTGGACTTGACTTTGAACAATAAGAATGTATAATTACTCTCTAAGCTTAACAGAAGTAGCATAATGAAATTGATCATAAACAGGTTCATGAATTAATCATAGCTATGGATCAGAAGCTCATG